GGGGGGATACAAAAAACGATGTTCCATGCAGTCAGGGTGCTGCCCAACTTAGGCCTGGATGCTGCCGCCATAGCCAGATGCTCAACCAAGTAGTGATGAGGAGGTGTAGGTAGTCAAGGGTGACTTCTTGTGATGCTGGCAGTACGAGGGAGATTCGGACATTGATTCTGGTTCATTCATTCATTGTTATTAACTTATTGTTGTTGAGAGAGATGATGGAGGAGAGAGATGGTGGCGAGATGAGTGAGGAGTGACATTGGTTCCAGCTTGTGTTCATCTTCTTCTCCTTCATTAAAAAAAAAAAAAAGGGTGCTGCACAAGTCATACCACAGGATATTGAGAAAAAAAAAAAGGGTGCTGCCCAACTCAAACCACAGGATATTGGTTCAACACCTCACTAAAGTGCTTGTCCACAACTTTGGCAATCAGAGAAAAAGGGGGAAATGAGAGGCAGGAGGAGTAGGGGAGGGTAGCAGAGAAGCCATCCATAGGACTGCATCGAAGAAAGGTCACCCTGGCTGAGTCATCCGCTTGTTAACCATATCTACGGTAGCCTCTGCTGTTGTCCCCTGTTAACCAGGCAAGATTTGTAAGAGGCACCTCTATATATATATACATATATATTGTCACATATATATATATATATATCATCATATATATATAAAATATATATATAGAGAGAGAGAGAGAGACAGAGAGAGAGAGGGTTATAAGTTTATAACTTTACATTGTTCTAAACTTGAAAGTTAGAACTATGACAAGTATGTTCAGTTGCAAAAAAAAAAAAAAAAAAAAAAAAAAAAGAACTACGACAACCGGTAACACCGCGTTTGCTTGTTTCTTTTTCAGTTCGAAAAGGTCCCTATGGTCTTGGCTCCATAATGAGTCCATACCATATCCATTTTGTGAGTGCCAGTCCAACCCTTCCACACCCACACTTCCTTTCGTTCAAGCCGAAGTCAACCTGTGGGTTCTACACTCTTCCCCCGAACATAACGCATATGCATTGAAATTTGAAAATTCGAATAGAAGTTATAGAACGCATGTGCGTTGTATTCAAAAATAACAACTGTAAGCATAGAACGCACGGGCGTTGTGTTTTAATAAACAGCAACCTACGCGTTGTACTCATTTACAACACATGCGTTTTATGTTCGGGGGAAGACGGTAGTTGGTGCACGAGAGGTCTCCTTAACTGGTATGGTACCTTATCTGGACTTCTTTTAGCTTCAGATTTTTCAGAGCCAACAAACCCTAGCTTCTTCCCCTGAATACAAAGCACCAGGCTACCAGCACCATGAGTGTATCTGCACTGGAAGAAGATTTGTATACATTCATGTCACAGCTTTGGAATCAGCATCAGATGGGGTCTCAGGAGAGGTTTGCTGAGTGGAATCAGAATCCACTTCATGATGACAGGGCGTTATGTTCCAGGGAAGAAAAAGGTAGCCTGTGAAGGTCAATAGCACCCGGAATCCAGTGGGCACTGGTGGGGCGGAGAGGGGAGGTCTGAACAGTCTTCCTTCTCCAATGTGGCTATGGCCTCCAGTTGCCAGGTAGGCTTCCTCCACCCTGAGGCCTCTTCTCCCTCTCTCAAGTGTCACATCTACTTGTCCTTATTCCCCCTGCCTCTTATTTCTACTACATTTTCCCCCCGAATAGGACGTACGGTCATTATAGCTGTATCTAGATGCCTCAAATACAGCTATAATGACCGTACGCTGTATTCAGGGGAAGAAGGTAGCTGTGCGGAACTGTCTTTGGTAGCAAGATTGGGAGGAACTGCATGAGAAAGGTGAATGATTCTGAAAGAGGAAACCAGGGCAAGCATTCTTCCCACCTGAAGGTAAGTGGACTCTCTCGTTTAGACGGGTGCAACCCGTCATCACTGAAGTAAAAGCGCAAAGAATTTTGGAAGCGCGTGCGAGAGAAAGTTGTTGGATCTGTCAAGAAGGAGGCAACTATCATTTGAAGCTTCACAATGTTCACACTTCTATGTCGCCACTTACTTCATTGATTTATTTATTTTTTTTCGTGTTTTCTAGACTGTCCCAAGCTATTGGTAGGAGGCTTTTTAGTATTTACCCCCCCCTCTCCTTCCACTTTCACCATGCACTGGGGTTCAAATGGCCGCACACTGCCAACTACTTGAAACACTAAATCTCTGCCCCTATAGAGCTGGGAGAAAATCCCACTGCCCACAATTCGGCAAGACATCTCAACGCAAACCAAATTGTGAGCCACCACAGGCTGGTCCCAACAATATATTGTACGAGCCAAATTTCGATATCTTTGTTAAACACTTTTTTCCCCTCATCCATGAAAATGGCTGGGTTGTCATGAGGATATATCATCACACGAAGATGGGTCGTCGCACAAAGATTCACTCACCTGAGGAACCACATCATTGACATCTTGTTGTGCTTCTTCCGCAAGGCGCTGGTGTTTTGCAGCTTCAGCCTTTGCGTTTTCCTCATCGGCACGGACCTTGGCGATGATTTGATCCATTTCTTTCTGTTCTGCAGCAATGCTTGCAATCAAGCGCTCCATTTCCTCACCCGTGCTCTCTTTCCTATCCAGCAGATTCTCTAGATCCTTCTGCATAGCTGTGACCAATTTCGCTGTCGACCTTAATTTGTTCGCGCCTCCTTCAAGTCTCTGTGACATGACCCTAACCTCCTTACCCTTGTTCTCAACCAAGCACCCTAGGATGCCCATCATCTCCAAATAACTTGCTGAAGAGCTCAGAGCTGTCTTGGATGTGACAAACATCGAACCGTACTTGCCATGCTCCTGGTACTCACCAACGTCCACATTCAACGATCACGGGGAGGCAAGAGGCCAAAAAAAAAAGACAGATTAGCACATTCTGCGAACTTTTATGGCTTGGGAAGGGAAAGGAGAAGGAAATTCATGTCCTTGAGGATATCCATTGAAACTGGGAATGACACAAAGAAGATTAGCACAGTCCCTGCACAAGGATGACACACACAAATCAAGAAATGGTCCAGATTGGCATTGGAAAGCAAAGGAAAAAGGAAAGATACAATAAAAAGCTGGCACTATGATAACAGCAATACCAACGCTATGCCATGTCCAGAAATCCGCCGAACAGGTGATCCCGATATCCGGGCCAGTAGAGGTTTGAAAAACTGGGGTAAAAATAACACACACTTAACAACACCAGCCCCCTTACACAGTTCAACATCAGTGTCATAGGATTGGTAACTTCTCACAAAGGGGCTTTGAAGTTTGAACAGCCCAGCTTCGGGACCGGTGGAAGGGAAGCCACTCCGGGTCTCAGGCTTTTAGCATTCTACTTGTCCTGGCAGAGTACCAGCACCGCTTGTGCACAACAGTGACATTACTGTCCAATTTTTTTTGTTTGCCATGATCCTATTGTTATGACCCGGACCAATTGCGAAGTACAAATTCGCCAATCAGCACAATGTTCACCAACTGCAAAAGGAAATGAATGAACTTGAGAGGATGGAGAGGATAAGAGGAAGAAGAAGAAGTAGAAAAGATTGGAAAAGACAATGTACACCAGCAAGAACCAATGTCAAAGCTCTTCTTCTTCGCTCAACTCCCTTGCATCTTATCTCCCCCTCCTCTTTATAAATTCAAACAATAAATAATACAACAATGTTGGA